TGAGAGGATTTCAAATATATCTCCGGGTCTCTAACTGAGTCAGTGCTGTTAGCAGGGGGGCCGCCAGAAATTTTGGACCCCATGACAAAAAACTCAAATTGGACCCCCTCTGCGCAGCTCACCACTTCTCTAGGCCTTAACTGCCCCATCAAAAGCTTTACATAACTCTAATTAAAGGCTTGCAAGTGTCTGGCTTCTTGTAGTTCAAGATTAATACTACCACAATATGTACTGCTGGAGATTTGTACGTGCAAGTCTGCATACAGGATGCAGTTCACTATTTCCTTCTCAAATAAATTGCCCTTCATGATGGGAATAATAAAGTCTGTATCTATAGATGTCATTAGCCATAAGTCAATCTAAATGAACGCATCAAACTGGATTATTTTAATATAATCTGTAATTTACATGCAGGCTGAGGTAAGCTGCTGTCCAGCATCCAGTACAGACAGGAAGGTGTTTTTTTATGTTATTTATTTCATAATGATCATTATGTGAGAAAATCATTTGTGTTTGAATTTCTGTCATTAATAAATATTTCAAGCAAGAGAGACAGAGAAATCGCCACAGCCTCCCTGGATTGATGCTAACTGGCCTGTCATTACCACAGTGCTGCTCCCCTTCTTCACTGGGACAGGGAGGCTACAGTTATGGGAACACTGGGCTGCTGCTGCTGGCTCATCTGTTGTTAGTCTGATAAAAGGAGCAGGGACAATGATTTAAAATGAATATCTTGCTAATGTTTCCCTGCACTGATTAAATATATAAATATAATAGTCACTAGTCTGCAGCTAGTTAGCTTATTTCCCTGTGGACATTAAGCCAGCAGGTTAACACCACCACTGACTAAAGGCCGCCACCTTTCTTGATGAAAAACTGGGTTACAGATTGACATCCTTCCTTTGTCTTTCCTCTCTCTCTCTTTTCTCTCTTTCCTTTTTGAAGACCACATTTGGTTACTAGGCAACATTGTGATCACTGCATCTTCTCACTGCAACTGAACACCATCACTGATGAGCGCGCTGAGGACCAAACCATTTCATGCAGACACAGGGGGGTGGTCGGTCAATATGGAGGAGGTTTTTTTGGTCAATGTGGATATTTAACTTTACAGACAAAAACAAGTCAGAACAAAAAGATCATTCATTTTATTATTATATGAAATATATTTATATCAATGATGGTTTAATAATGTAATATAATTTCATATTAGTTATTATTTTATTTATTTTTCTTAGAATTGTCCTAAATTCCCCCCCCTATACGGCGCCCATGGCTGTTACGGGTTTAGGGTCTGTAAGAGAGCGAGAGAGAGACAGTGGAGGCAATAAAAACTGAATTTCACAGGGGTCTCATTTGTAGTTATTATATTTGCCAGTAATGGCCACTTGCTTTACTTCCACCAAATAAGTGAACAGTGATTAAATAAGGCCACTGAAATTAAATTAAATGAGTTACTAAAGTGGCAAAAAGTAGAATGGATGTGACCTTTCTGACTCTCTCCTGCCTTCTTGTGTCTCCAATCTGAACTGCAGCTCGAAGACATAAGCAGAGGGAAAGAGATGACTACTAAAAGATATGCAGGTGGACCAGTGGGTCCAAATCAGGCTGTTGACGGCGACTACAAAAACTCAGGTTACAACAGGGGACACGTTTACCCCCACTGCCACAACTGTGATGAGGACCAGGCTGAGTCAACCTTCACCCTCACCAATGCTGCCCCACAGACAGGACCAGACAACATACAGTGGTACAATGAGGTGGAGAAAAAAGTAATTGACATTATCGATAATCTCTGTAGATTAAACACAGCCCATGTAGTGACTGGGGTCATTCCAGGAACCAAGTATATAAACTTTAGAGTGAATATTCCGAGTTATTACTGGTCAGCTTTTTGTTGTAAAGACAAAAACAGCAATTCATTTATCTCACGGGGATACACGTTAGAGATGAATGAGAAAGGGACTGCAAAAGCTGAACAATGGTCATTAGATCGCCTGAATACTGCTCTTGGAAATGGGTACAAATTCCTATTTCAGGTGTTTGGGACACTTAAAGGCTGTTCTTAAAGCTCACACCCACAACACACAAACATGCCTCTCAAGGTAGATGTGGTGGTATGTGTAACCTTTCTAATAATGATGACTATTTGCAACGGTGTGTGATCATTAACACATACCTAACAGGGTGGAAGGGGAATCAGTATGTGGTATGTGGAACCAAACACAAACTACTTGATCGTACAGAACAGGTTGCGTTACCAACTCTCAGTACATTTACATTCATTTAGCAGACGCTTTTATCCAAAGCGACTTACAATTGCTATACATGTCAGAGGTCACACGCCTCTGGAGCAACTAGGGGTTCAGTGTCTTGCTCAGGGACACAATGGTGGATGTGTCACAGTGGGAATTGAACCCGGGTCTCTCACACCAAAGGTCTTATCCACTGCCAGCCCATACCTGTATGTGATAATAAACACACAACTGTATGTGATAAACACACCTGTATGTGTTCATTAACACACACACACACACACACACACGTTCATTAACACACACACACACACATTCATTGACACACACACACATACATTCATTGACACACACACACACACCTGTATGTGTTCATTAATACACACACACACCACATGTTCATTAACACACACATTCATTAACACACACACACACACATTCATTAACACACACACACACACATTCATTAACACACACAATTCATTACACACACACACACACATTCATTAACACACACAATTCATTAACACACACACAATTCATTAACACACACACACACAATTCATAACACACACACACACACACACAATTCATTAACACACACACACACACACAATTCATTAACACACACACACACACATTCATTAACACACACACACACAATTCATTAACACACACACACACAATTCATTAACACACACACACACACATTAACACACACACACATTAACACACACACACACACACACACACAACCGGTATGTGTTCATTAATACACACACACACACACACACGTTCATTAACACACACACACACACACGTCATTAACACACACACACACACGTTCATTAACACACACACACACACATTCATTAACACACACACACAACCTATATGTGTTCATTAATACACACACACACACACACACAACCGGTATGTGTTCATTAATACACACACACACACACACAACCGGTATGTGTTCATTAATACACACACAACCGGTATGTGTTCATTAATACACACACACAACCGGTATGTGTTCATTAATACACACACACACACGTTCATTAACACACACACACACACATTCATTAACACACACACACACATTCATTAACACACACACACACATTCATAACACACACACACACATTCATTAACACACACACACACACATTCATTAACACACACACACATTCATTAACACACACACACATTCATTAACACACACACACACACACACACACACACACACATTCATTAACACACACACACACACATTCATTAACACACACACACACACATTCATTAACACACACACACACACACATTCATTAACACACACACACACACACACACACACACATTCATTAACACACACACACACACACAACCGGAATGTGTTCATTAATACACACACACACACACACACCTGTATGTGTTCATTAATACACACACACACACACACACACACGTTCATTAACACACACCCACACACACCTGTACGTGTTCATTAACAAATTGCAATGTGACACTACAACTCCCATGAGTAGGCTACTATCTACACATAGTGTTTGCTCATTGGTCCGTTAGTGAAGCCCATTGTTTGGCGCGCTACTGACCAACGACACTGTAAACAGGAAGACGCTATGGAGATTAAAGTCGCAGACTGGCTGTCGGACTGAAGGCTGTTTTAGCCTACCATTAATTATCCACTTAACCAGCAGCAGCGAAGACAAAGCAATCTTTTTTTAATATCACGAGAATCCACGCAACATGCGCGCCCCACTGTCTCTCCTCTCTCGCAATGGTGCGCATCAAGTATGACATCCAGACTTTTGTAAAAGAATATAAAAGTTGAATCTGTCACAGGGCAGCCACAGACCCTCAGACCTGTAGACCGTCAGCCTCTTCTTTTAACCTGATGGTATGATCTCTGTCATCACACGCGTCTGGTCGCATGCACGCACACAACACAGCGATCAGTCAGAGCGTGAGTGTGCGTGGCCGAGCAGTATAGAGATGAAATGGATAGCAGAAGGAGAGAAAGAGAAAAGGCAGAAGGAAAGTGCCCATAAATGCTGTAAAATTACAGATATACTCATGATTAAGGGACGTGGTGTTACTAGTAGGTCTGCCCTTATCACACCAAATCGTCCTATCACAATACCTTTCCAGAGTTGATTATTAAAATATAGAACTATGTTTTAATAAAAGTTGTCATATAGGAGAGCAGAAGATGCGTCTGTATGCGAATAATATGGAAAAAAAGACCTGTTTACTCGTTTTGTATCTCCAGTTAGAGCTACCACAGCTTCATGATGATAAACATGAATCTAGTCAGAGCTCCGAGGAAATGCAGATGCAAAACAATCCAAAAGTACACAAAACTGATATAGGCTGATATAAAATTTTAATCCAGTTGCCTTAATTGAGGATGTTTTTCTTGGACAAAATAATTTCGATTTTGCTTTTTGTTTCTAATGCAGATCATTTTTCCATTTTTAAAAATAGTTTTTCTGATGAGTTTTTACCTTTTCAATGAATCTTTTACACCCATGCAACTGTCACGGTTTGTCGTGTGTGCAGGCAGGAACAGGTATAGGACCCAAACGCAGAACAAGCAGGCGGGACAGATACAGTCTCTTAGAATTTATTAAACTCAAAAGGAACTAAACTTACAGCAGAGTCCAAACCAAGGTTGCCTGCAGAGCAACAAAAACACAGTCCATAAAAAATGATCCAGGGGAAGACCAAACAAAAGGATAATCCAACAAACAAGGTTGCAGAGGCAGTCAAGCAAGACACACGGCAGTGGACGAACATACAACGAACCAGCCACAGCTGAACAGAAGTCACACACATTTAAGCATTGGCTAACAAGGAGGGCGGGAGCACAAACAGGTGATACTAATAAAGAGAGCAGACAGGCACCAAGAACTACAACCAGAAGTACACAGACCAAAAGTTAAGGGTGAAGGTTGACTCAGCCTGGTCCCCATCACAGTTGTGGCAGTGGGGGTAAACGTGTCCCCTGTTGTAACCTGAGTTTTTGTAGTCGCCGTCAACAGCCTGATTTGGACCCACTGGTCCACCTGCATATCTTTTAGTAGTCATCTCTTTCCCTCTCCTTATGTCTTCGAGCTGCAGTTCAGATTGGAGACACAAGAAGGCAGGAGAGAGTCAGAAAGGTCACATCCATTCTACTTTTTGCCACTTTAGTAACTCATTTAATTTAATTTCAGTGGCCTTATTTAATCACTGTTCACTTATTTGGTGAAAGTAAAGCAAGTGGCCATTACTGGCAAATATAATAACTACAAATGAGCCCCCTGTGAAATTCAGTTTTTATTGCCTCCACTGTCTCTCTCTCGCTCTCTCTCTCTCTCTCTTACAGACCCTAAACCCTAACAGCCATGGGCGCCGTATAGGGGGGGAAATTTAGGACAATTATAAGAAAAATAAATAAAAATAAATTATAAACTAATATGAAATTATATTATACATTATATAAACCATCATTGAGTATAAATATATTTCATATAATAATAAAATGAATGGTCTCTTTGTTTTTACTTGTTTTTGGCAGTAAAAGTTAAATATCCACATTGACCAAAAAGTAAACCTCCATATTGACCGACCACCCCCCTGTGTCTGCATGAAATGGTTTGGTCCTCAGCGCGCTCATCAGTGATGGTGTTCAGTTGCAGTGAGAAGATGCAGTGATCACAATGTTGCCTAGTAAACCAAAATGTGGTCTTCAAAAAAGGAAAGAGAGAAAAGAGAGAGAGAGGAAAGACAAAGGAAAGGATGTCAATCTGTAACCCAGTTTTTCATCAAGAAAGGTGGGCGGCCTTTAGTCAGTGGGTGGTGTTAACCTGCTGGCTTAATGTCCACAGGGAAATAAGCTAACTAGCTGCAGACTAGTGACTATTATATTTATATATTTAATCAGTGCAGGGAAACATTTAGCAAGATATTCATATTAAATCATTGTCCCTGCTCCTTTTATCAGACTAACAACAGATGAGCCAGCAGCAGCCCAGTGTTCCCATAACTTAACTTAACTTAACTTAACTTAGACTTTATTTGTCCCTGTAGGGCAATTGGTTCTGCAGCAAGACATAGACACAGGACAGATACATATGCAAGACCGAAATACATAAAGACTAAATGTTAAAAGCTCTGGTTGTACAACAGAGAATTTAGAAGATAGATAGATAAGTGCTACAGAATGAGGTGCTCCATTTCTGAAAATAAATAAATAAATAGGCCTCCAATTCAACAACCATATGTTAAAAAGAAACATCTAACGATGTTCATCATAAAACCATATATAGCATGACTGCAACAACATTTCCATAACAATCACCATCACTTCAACAACATCATCAACATCAGTGCTATACATGTTATAACAACCCCATCACTATTTAATTATTAACTCTATCTACTTCTCCGGACTGAGTTTAGAAAAGAGATGGCATTCAGAACGAATGAGTGCCTGTATCTATTGCTTTTTACTGGGGGTAATCTGAACTGAGACCTTCACTATACTGGTAAGAGTAGTTTTGGCCTTAACAGTGAGATTACCATACCAGCAAATTACAGAGAATGTTAATACAGACTCAATGTATGATTTATAAAAAACGGTCATGGGGGTCTTATCAGCATGAAACTTTGACAGTTTGCGAAGGCAAAACATCTTTGTTGGCCTTTTTTGCAGAGCATCTCAGTGTTGGAATTAAAATTCAATTTATTGTCAATCAAACTACCCAGATACTTATATGATTCTATGAATCCCACCATCTGCCCATTGATGGTAGTGTTCTGAGGAGTTGATGACTTATGCCTAAAATCAATCAGCATGTCCTTTGTCTTTTCTACATTTAATTGAAGGAATGCCCTATCACACCAGAGCACAAAATCATCAACAACAGGACCATGATCACTTTCCTCAGAAGAGAGGAGACTGACAATAGCAGAATCATCTGCAAATTTTAAAATATGTATATTTTCATGCTGGCTGCGGCAATCATCAGTACAGGGACGTGCACAGGAATTTTAAAGGGCAGTTGCTCTGACCTGAAAAAAGGCACTAAACACAGTATCCAAAATGTATTAACAATATAAATGTCACCAAAATACATATGAGAAAAAGAGTTCCTTATATTATTGTTTATTGTTTTTTTTAATCATTATTATTTTTTATTTTTTTTCCTTTTTTTTTTATTTGAAAATAAAT